TATTTAAATAGGTACTACTAAGGTAAAAATGCTCAAATTCATCAGCGCAGCAGATTATATTATAATACCTGGTTACTGTTATAAATCTCACAGATACATAGTAGTAGGTAGACAGACTTATCTCAAAAACATGTCTTTTATCTCTTGTTCTACTTGTTCGTAGTACTTCCGTGCGCAATACCACTATTTGAAGGAAGTCTTCTTTCATTAAAATTATGAGTAATAAAATAAATAAACCACAAAGTTAAAGTTACAAATCTGCTACTACAACTTCCATAGATTAGTTTTTAATATAGTAGTAGGACCTATATGAATTATCTTTGATAGTATCCTCAAGATAGTAACTGTAGGTATATACTAGTAGGAACTTAATAATTTTCTGTATTTTATTTATATCTACTACTATAATTCGTAAATTCAGCGTCTATAGGAGTCTTCAGAGGTTATATGATAACGGTCTCCATGGTCTAGCGGTTCAACACTCCGCCTCTCTTCCGAAGGTAGCGAGTTCGATAATCAATACTTGCACGAACAAACACGTTCAGGCATGAGTTTCTACCGAGTCATGTCTATGCCCAAGATATTATATTCCTTGGTGTTCGTGTATATATGTTACAGACGCCATTTTCTATCGGGGATGTATCTGTTCTACGGAAAATCTTTGCTATACAGGAAATTACTATCTTTTTGGTAACGATTAGATCATGGAAGAGCATAATAACAAATAAACAACAAAACAAAGGTCCGAACTCACAATGCAGTAATAAGTAGAATTAACTTGGGATTCAACCTTTTTTTTTTTAATTGTAAAATATTTAAATATTTCTCACTCCTTTGTGGACTATAGAAGTTTCATCATACTAACACACTACACTATCATACCTCCGAGCTACCATAACCGGAGTCATGGGGTCGCGCTAGCATTCTACCGCGACTCCTATGCAAGCAATAAGTACGTACAATTTTTAATATTAGGCCTTACAAGGAGGCCTTTCATAGTTCACCCACCGTACTTAAAATATAAAAGAAAATGTTTTCAAAACTACAATAAACTGTTGTACGATACACTTATCACTACGTTATACGCAACACGATATCAGCACTGCAATGTAGGACTTATCGGCATAACAATAATCCGCGATAATGGATTAACTCAAAGGTACGGCGAATATTTATAAAACACAATCGATTTAATCGGAAAACTTGATTATAATTCAATTTCGATACTATCATAATAATAAGTATTTGACTGTAACGCTACTGTTTTCAAATATATAATGTATATAATACCTTTTATGTAAGCCGATTGAGAATATCTTTATTGCCTATTTTTATTCACACGACCATGAAGTAGAATAGATAATATAGACGATGCCATGTACAACTTAGTTTCGGACTTTGGCTCAAACTGTAGGTATTAAAAAGATCTATACAGATTTTAATGAGATTTTAATACAGTTTTACATAATTTTGGATATGCTAACAAGTTTTCATACATTTTTAGAATATGTAGGATGATGCAATGAAAGATCTCGGGTAAGCATTTATTATAAAAAATGACATATTTTACATCACAAATGTGTAAGAATACCTACAACAAACTAGGTTATAAATTTTTGACCTCCCTTTTTTAAGTCAATTAAAATTGCAAGTAGGTATCTATATATATATATGTATAGGCAGATCTTGGATTTATCTACAGAATATATTGTATTTTTTAATATGTTTATTAATGGCCACAACGATAATGATGCACACAAATTACCTACACCTAATTTAAATAGTTTAATTTAACCACAAAGAAACTGGTTCCCAATAGTCAATAGGTTGTCTACTTAAAATGCTATTATCGAAATAATCTGCAACTATTTCGATTATATAGATAATTAGACAAATTATGCGATAAAAATAGTTTTAATGAAGGTTGATGTTTCTTTCATAGTTCACAGTATAATGGACATAGGTCGCAACAATCAACCTATAAGATAATACCTCCAATCTGCAATACAAAACTGCTATTTTCATCTCTTTTTTATATATTTGGAAAGGCAAACAAGCTAACGGCTCACTTTCCTAATGGAATGGTTTCCTAATGGATCTAGATATCCTTTCCTAATGGTAACCGTAGCATATACATGAACAGCAAGAGTTAAAGGAAATATTCTTGTGACTTGCGACAGTGTGAAGTTCACGAAATTACTGGATAAGAAGCGTGACATCTTAGTCCTCAGCCTGACTGGTATCACGGGTGTCACATAATACCGAGAGGTCCGTACCTCTCGGTATTATGTGACACCCTTATCCTGTTTATTCTTATCCAGTAATTTCGTGAACTTCACACTGTCGCAAGTCACAAGAATATTTCCTTTAACTGAACACGAATGTATGGTTTCGTTTCATTGCACATTAATTTATGAGCTGCAGCTATTTTCCATGCTAAAAAATACACTCTGCATTCCGCTACGCTATATAATCCATGCTTATTTCTTATGTATATTATTATATATCTAGGCAGGTGGCTGAGAGTGGTTTCTTGTAGTAATTTATGAGGCGTCATAATACCTAGGTATACAATAAATACCTGAAATTTACTGTATACCTAATTTAATTTGAAAATAGAATTCTTAAGTATTATGCATAATACATATATTTACCAAAGTAAGTAAGAATATCTAAAATACATTTAATATTATTTCAGCACATTATAAATATTACATATAATATTATTATATACATTTATAATGTTTGGATACATTATAAATTTTGTTATTAAATATAATTTCCATCAAAACATTTTTAAGTATTTTACTAAATACATTTAGTTAACAAAGTAAGATAACATTTTTAATTTTGTTGTTAAATATTACTCACAAAGAAAATAACTTAATATTTGCATAAGGCCTCAGTGGGCTAGCGGTTTAGCATACCGTCTTACTTTCAACGGTCGCTGGTACGATAAGTACTAGCACGTTACAAACCTTTATAATCACAATTTAAAAAAAATCGAAAATACCTAAATATTTATTCTTAGATCATATTATATACTTACTGACTGCACAACTTTTTTTTCAATGAATTTGATTGATCTTACGGATTTATGCTATAATTTGAATAAGTAGATATATAGGTATAAGGTATATATTGCGGCAACTGGTACCTAGTTCAAAATATACCGACTAATTAGCTAATCGGTAGCGTAATAATAATTGTTTAAAGTAATTTGACAGTAATAAGCTACGGAAGCATCTAGTTTGAATTCCGATAAGATTACACGACTGATATGCCTAGTTTAATTTTGTTTTTTATGCACATAGTGTGTAATTACATAATAAATGTTTTTATATGTGTCCATCAGTAGTATTATATTCATAGGACAATTACTTCTTAGTCTAGAACTTTATGTACGGATAAAATACTTGAGATTTTACTAATGAATCTATTGAGAATAGAAAAGATAGAGAGTAATAACAAAAAGATACTGCGTACAATTTGGTCATAAATTAGAATATTTATAATTATTTATTATACGTCCTTGTATTAATAGTAATAATTTTTTGTTAATCATTTTATTTTAATCCTATAAACTGATCTGGCTGATCTGATATCTCAATGATTAATTGATTAAAATTAAGATGTGTAATGACGATAATGATCTAATATATCGATTGAGTAAGAACAATCAAATACAACGCATATTTAATACTAAATTGCATTACAAATAAAAAAATAAAAATCACAAATTTTGGAAAATCGACATTGTAGTCAAGCATTAAAGCAGATTTTCCAAAACTTGTAAATTTAGAGTTAATACAGTTCAACATTAAGTGCGCGATGCGTAAAGATTGAAATACTTTAACAAATACATCTTAGATATTACAGTAGTACTAACAACAAATACCTATGTAGGTATACCAACAATGATTTGATATTTCGATATATATTATAATGATTAGTATAAAAAATATTAACTAGTTACCTACTAGTCATCACATAGATATGTCTAACTGTATTAATATATTTTTTTAGTACGTTACTTTCTATAGTAATTTACTTATTAAATCATTTTAATACCTAACTCCGTACACATAAATTATTATAACAAGTATTGATTTTTTTTATTAGTATTGATGTAAGTACAACAAAATTGATATCATACTCATATTATTTTAAGAATACTACTATCTATGAAGAGTCCACCCAATCAAAAATGATCTTATCCCTTCTTATTCCAGTTATTTCTGATTATATATCAATTTTTAACCAAAAATGACTATTTTAATAAAAAAATGTATTTTTCTAATGAAAATGTTTCAATCAAATTAATTAAGTAAGTAACAAATAAACACAAAATTAACAAATAAACATCTACCTACCCGCATTAACTAAATCTGTCAGTGTCAACACTTATCTATGTATATCAACAAAATTAGGTAATCGTATCAATTAATGACCAAATAAAACTAAATTGTTGTCACAATTAGGGTAGAAATTTGTTTTAAGAGGCTGATTTGGCGATTCTTCTGAAAATCTATTGACTAACACGCCGATGGTTCCATTATTTTTAAATGCAAATTTATATGGTTATCAGATGAACTTGGCGACTTATTGTCCAAGTGCATTAATGAGTCGATGTAGCATTCATTTCTTTCGATATTACAATAGAAACTGCGCACGTAGGTACGTCTGTATTAATATTATTAATAATATATTTTATAAGTACACTGCATAATTTATTTCCGTTCATAATTTTCATTACGGCGACTATACCCAAACCCCGCTGTTACAAATAACTACATATAAAACTATGTATAAAAATTCGGAAATGTCTAATCTAATAATAATTTTACTATTTACATATGATCTAAATTCGTTACAGTAATCTTATTATTTAAATATATTTAGTCGCGTGTCTTATCTCTTATAATTATGACTAGAACCTAAATAGGTATAATAAAAAACAAACGTCATTAATTAAAAATGAAATAATATAAAAATCTGACCTGCGACAGATCACTAGGGCCCTCTGATTTGACAGTGTTGGCCGCTGCCCACGCCTCCGCGAACGTCTCCATTGCACTTTGAAAGTCCATCTTGTTACAATTCACGACATCGACATGCCGAAGTATCACTCAACATGTGCACGGTGATGCGGACACCGTCAACAATCACGGGACACGTACGACCCAGCCGACCGGCGGCGCGCTACTGACTCGGCCCCGCCCAGCGAACCGCCCGCAACGAGAAAAACCGATACCGACCGAGCCTTCCCGTTTCAGCGCTTTTCTTTTTTAAGCCGCTATTTTAACGAGTTTTTTTTTCTTCTAAAGCCCAACCCACAGTGGTTGGGCGTTCTGGATTATTTACACTTGTAATTCACAGATTGCTACGGTGTGATGCCTAATTTGCTGTATAGAGGGGTTTTATCTTGATTAGGCACAGAACGTTTTTGTTTTGATATGCTATTTACGTTCCGTTTGCGTAAGCGTTGCGTTTATTACTCTGTAGCCTAAATAAATGATAATGATCGTTCGATATTCATTAGATAAGTATATACGTGAAAATATTGTTGTGTCTATAGTTTGGCGATTGGTAGCTATCAACTTTTTACAGATATTGAGATTTATTATTGGGAGTTTTTTATTCCGATTCAAATCTTTTTTATTATTGCTGTGTTAATTTTATTCATTAAATACCTACATCTATTATGTACCATCTACTTTTTTTATACTTACAACTTCTTTTATTTAATTAATATTTTTCAACTGTTCAATTGTCTATGCAAGTTCTTAGTTGATCATGTAATTTTGCGTGATGATCACGCCTTAAAGCAAAATGGATGCTGAGTTCATTGTTAGTGCATCGTGCAATTAAATATGGTAACTATTTAGCGATATTAATGATCCATTAAGTAATTATACATTTTAAAAGCAACTTCAATTGAAAAACAATGTTTGCATTTTGCATTTTATGAACATAAGTATCTAATTAACTAAGTATATATGTTTCTTAACAAGGAAACCGGGAGTTTTGTTATGTTATGTATTAAACCCCCGGACTCCTTGTTAAGCATGATTCTCATTTCCTCTTTTATTTTATATTATATTCTTTTATTGCACTTATAACATCATATAAACTGGCAAGCTTAATACCATATGATATTCTCTGCCAGCTAACCATTAGATAAGAACAGAAACGGTTGATGGGCAATGGTCAGAAAGAACAAACGTAAATGATTAGGTCTACAAAAATACTTAACGTATAAATATACATACATAAATATTAATACTAAAATACTTATTATAATACATAGAATACATAATAATATGTGTAATTATGAATATACACAACACATTGATATCACATATTCTATTTACCTTTTCTTTATGTAGATCAATTACAAACATTCATAGAGATGGATACGTTTTAGGTATATTACATATTATTATAATTCCTATTGACTATCTAAGAAAAACTGATATGACAAATAATTTCTAAAACCAGTTTAATTTGTTGTGAGTTTTCAATTTTTTTTAATACCTAAATATCAATATGTAATAACAATAACTAACAATATAATAAGTAACAATACTATAGCTGAACAGTGTACGCTACATTTAGGTATCAATCTTCCTATACTATTGTGATTATGTCATATTGATCTAATATGACATAATCACAATAGTATAGGAAGACACATTACAATTTTAAATGACAAAAATTTGTAGCCTATACCTAATACTGAAAAAGTACTTAATATTTTTTTTATAATTCTGCTCCAGAATTTTGGCAACTACATACTTCGATAACGAAATCATATAGGTAAGTGTAATGAACATAAAAATATCTAATAAGTACGTTTACAAGAAATTATATTAATTATTTCATACTAATGTGATATGTCCCTGTAATCAGGAACATATAACAAAACAGATACTTAACTTAATTTGACAAATTTCTTTTCAAATTGCACTCGGCTCTTAAATATCAATACGCTTCTAATTTTATAATTTAAAAAGCTATCAAGGTGGCTAATTGCAATATCCTTGCAAAATGGCGGCGTCGTCCTAGGAAGCATTTTTATTCATTATATAAATCACAGTGGCTTCCCGTCTGCTGGGGATGTAGAAAAAATGTCGCGGCTTCATATAATTTTGTACGTGGCCGTTAGCGAACGTTTAACCGACATTACCTTCCGGGAAAGTTAATTTTTCTTAATTTCTGCAACTTCCGAAATGATCTCCCTTGTTGATATTTGAAATATTGTTATGGGGGATGCGGTCGTGCTGGTAAAAAAGGGAGTAATATTGCGTTACATTATTAAAGTTAAGCTTATATTTAATGGCGTAGTTTGAAATGTACTAAAGTTTAAAGGACTAGTTGACTTCTTATACTAATCAGATTATGTTATGTTACACCACCTTTCCTTCTGAAACATATTATCAAGAGGACCGATTTGTATATTATTATGAATATACTTAAAAAAGACTGTTTTAAATTCTTTCACATGTAGGAATGTTATGTTGTTTTGCACTTGGGCAGCGTCACAGAATTATAAACATAGGTATATAGGTATTTTGAGAATAAAACTTTTTAGAAATATTTGAAGTTATCACAAAATTTTATTCATATGAAGCATTTATAAAATACAATGTGTATATGTGAGATTGTCAGTACATATTATACAGTACTATACAGGCAATCAAAATACATCCCGTTTGTGTGACGGTAGTTAAACAAAATACCGGCTCCTATTACCTACTCCAGTCAACTCGTGACCACAGCTAGTGCAACTAATCCGAAACGTCGGGAGAGGAAAATAGCCTTTATTACCATAAGATTATTGGTGTCAAGACCAGTTTAACTATATTAATAATCTGCACACATTTTAATACAATATTAACGTAGACCTAAATACATCGCAAACTATAATATTTGCCATTATGCAGTAATCTCAGTGTGGGTAACACATGACATTTCTTCACATCCCTTTACCAAGTACTTACGTAAGTATTTGATACAATACAAATAGAACATTAATTAAGAGGAAGCGAGGATACAGGAGGGGACAGTCACAGTATTTGGGGCAGTGGTAACGATTGAGGCTTTATACAGAACACTCTTTGTTTACTTGTTATTGATAAACAATGAGTTGAGAGGGTTCTCTCTGAATTCTGGATGTCGGATGTTACGTTATAGAATATAGATCTTAGAAACACTTCAGCCATATATAATAAGAGTAATATACTTACATAACATGCAACTGAAGTATGTTTATATAGTACAAAATTCATTATACAGATCTTAATCGTAACAATAATTTGTAATGTGGTAATTGTGTTATAACTATAATTGTTGTAAAATTATGAACAAACGTATAACGACTTTTAAAAATTCTTTCACCAACACATTATTAACTTTTAATTTGTTTTGAAAATCCGCAATATTTATTCAACGAAAAAAGGTACTTGCAAGCAAAGCACGAGATGAATAAAAAGTTTAAATTTATCAAAGTTCATTCAAAATTAACAAACCGCAGCTATAAAAATACTGCACAGAATAAAAATTGCTTCCAATAAATAATTTGCGTAAAATTAAAAAAGAAAGTGTTATGCAGTCGTAATATTCGTTAACGTTATTATCACATTTTGTATCTTTTTAGATTGAATGTAGGTATTTTAGTTATAGAATAATATTATGATTAGCCTCAACATTCAAAAACTATCTGTTTGTCTGTTTAAACAAACTGTGTTTGTTAAGATTTTACGTAAAAACAGCTCGAGAATATGCACCATATTCTTTCTACTATTTTTTAAATTCATTAATTAACAAAATAAATAGATCAGGGGAGTATGACATAAAATAAATATATTACAATGGAGAAACTCGTTCGATAAAATACGTTCAAAGTGTTTCATGAATCGAGAGTAGATACATTGGAAAATATTAACCTACTAATTCTTAAGTACACACAAAGCCGAGTAAACACTGACAGTTCATAACTGTCTACTATTAACACATCGGCTCTTGTCTTTTAGCGTCAACGAGTTCACTCGACTACAGAACTTTTAGTCAAGTCATCGCTTTGTTTGACTACAAAACTAGATATAGGTTCTTCTTTGCGTAGTATCTATTGAAAGATACTCATATATAATTAGGATACTTGCAGATTTGCAGCCACTATTCTGCACGTAAAAGTAGGCTTAAAAGTAATATTTTTTTTAATATAGTCATTAAAAGTTCACATGTATGTTTATAAACCTTAACAATAAAGCACTCGCAATGCAGTCCACGTATTTTCACGCAAAAATTTCATAAAGATCCGTTCAGCCGTCTAGACAGACTTAAATCGGACCGAAAGACTCAAAATCGCATTTATAATAAAAGTATAATTTCAATTGAAATTTAGAGGCACGTTTCGTAATAACATCCATATGTAGGTTACTATTTTGCCATATACCCCATAATATAGAAAGACTGGTCTAGAATAGTGAACTGTTCAGTCTCAGACTCTCTTACAGGTCCTATATCTACCCAATATATGAACAGTATTACGAAATATGTCTATAGCTGCATAACGTATTCCCTTAGTCTGAAAATAGACTAAAGAAATCTAAGAAAAATATTCCTCAAAGGAAAATAATAATAATTTACAGCCTATATGATGTATAAACTACATTACTATAAATTTTCATGAAAATCCGTTCCGTAGTTTTTGCGTGAAAGACTAACAATCTATTCATCTATCCGTCCATACTCACTAACTTTCGCGTTTATAATATAAGTAAGATTTATTCACAAGCAGCATCACTTAAATGCTTTATTTCCCTTTCGAACCACTTCAGCTCCTACCAATATTCCCGCAACAATTACCGTACTGCCCTCTTTTACTTTAAAAACATATCGACGTATTATCTTTGTTTTTTTTTTTACTTTTAATTTATTTAATTTAATTCTTTACAATTCCTCACTTGCGGTTATATTTCCAAATAGGGTAAAAGTCATAAAACTATAAACCGAGACCCAAAGTAATATCGATGACATATGGTGCAAACTATAAGTTTATAACGCCATAAAGGCAACATGATATGACCTATATATAGATATAATATAATATTATGAAATAGGTATATACAATAAAATATCAACGTTGTAGTACAAAGGTGTTAAACGGTGCTATATATAAAATATCGATGGCA